GCACCAGGCCAACCAGGTGTACCAGGTCAACCATTCAGTCCGGTACCACAAGGTTAATGCTTTCATTTGATGTTTTCTCCCAGTCATCCTTGTTTTCGTTTTTAAGTAAACCTGAACGGGAAATAGCAATTTGCTACTCTTCGAAGGGGCAGAGTTCCTTTTGTAGAAACTGATTAAGCAGGGTAGAAAACGATGTAAGTCCTGGGCTGAGTTTCTATCTGTTTTGAAGCCTCCGAAAATGCTCTAGGCATCAGTTTCTTGTTTGCTGCCCTGCCTGCATTACAATGATGGATCTAGAATGTTTCTGAGTGGCTCTGCCTCCGAGTGATGTCTGCCCAGCATTTCTTCTTTTCTGATATTTTTACTTTTTTCATCCCTTTTATAAATGGGCGTCCCGTTCAACCAATCATTAGCCATAGTACTGACACTAGGAAAAGAACAAACCATTCAACAAATGGCATGCATGATTTTTCTTTATTTCAGGTGCAGGATGTGGAACGAACCCGAAGTAATTTTTTCTCGATATTCCATACACAACCCAGGTTGTATTTCTTCTACAAGATTTCTAAAATTTCTTTCAAGGGCAATCCTCATTGCAAAGTAGCCATTTATAGGCTCATTTCATAATTTTTATGGCGTTGACAACTTTAGGAGCGATTTTCGGTCTACCTTTCTTTATCATTTATACTTTATACTAGGATACCCATTTATACTAGGCTCCCACCTGAATGTTCCGACTTCTTTGACCCTCAACCTCAAATTATCACGCAGAAGAAGCCATGTCCAAACTGGAATTTTGGAGAAAATTCGTCGCTTCACCTACGCAATCTTTTTAAAATCATGAGGGCCAAACTAACTTGGATGTTGGTTGGATGTGCTCAGTATGTGGTTGGACCTAAACTAAACTCAAGAAGATCGGCAGTACCTCAAATTTAATACTGAACATTGAATCTTACAACTCCAGTGTGCTTCGGTTACAGAACTCATTTGCATTTTTTGAAGCCTTAAAGAATTACCTCACGGGTCATTCGAACAAAATCGCGTCTAGGAGACTCATAATAAATGCAGGAAGTAGGCTTAAGAGAGATCCCCAGCGATTTTC